GCTTCTATACTTACCATCATGCATTCCATAGAATGATGATGTGAATACACTGGTTAATACTGGATCCCCACTAATCCTTGGCAATGAAACAGGCATGGATATAAAGTCTAATGAAAATCGCAATAGATGATGGTTTCATCTGTGTGAAAACCTGTCAGTAGATTTTATATGTCTATTATTGGTTATATTTCCTGCAATGATAAATTGAATGATTTTATGATGCCAGTGAAAACAGTTTTTAGAAAAAAAAAATTACTATCAATCCCTGTTGTATATATATTCTTCAAAATAACCAATTAAATTTTACTTCTGTGACATATATTTCCAAAAATAAAAATAGAATTCAGTGCTTTTACCTCCTAAGAGCTGTTGCCTATATTGGGTCTTAATATACAACTAAAATCAATCAGAACAAAAAAACCTATTATTAAATTGTTCATTCCCCTTCAACATCCTCTTCCCATCACTAGTATTAAATATAAAATTTGCTTTATGTATACCAATGTGTTGTTCATTCAAAAAACCTTTGAAGAAATGATAAATGTTTAAGAAGATAGTATATCTAACCTGATGTAGATGTAGACATTAGGCAGTTCATATGTGAATGGAACATATATGGCACGTTTTATATATATATATAATTTGTGCTTTTATGCATCAGTTATAAATAATATTAGAAATGATATTAATAAACACTGTTCATATAATTATTGTCCTTTTTTAAAGAACTAATGTGTGCCAGGCTGAAATTCAATTAAAGAATGTCATCCTTTGGATGGAGTAAAGCAGTCAGAACTGGTAAATTATGGCTACTTAAGTGTTTCTATTTTCTACAAATATAGACTAATTCAGAAAGGGAATGTTTCCAAGCATGCTGACTGCCTTGGCTCACCCTGTCTGCCCACTAACCTTGTTTCCCCCTCCACACAGGGTGATTGGGTCTTTAACAAACTATGATTATGAGGATCTTTGAAAACCAGCCAAAATATCTAGGAGAAAATGCCTGGGTGAAGGGCATATTTCATCTTGGTCACTATGTAATCTAAGTAAGGATAAATTTTACATTATATCACCTGCATTCTTTCACTCCAGACTTCCTCTTGACCATGGGAGAAAATGTCTGGGTGAAGGGCATATTTGATCTTGGTCAATATGTAATCTATGGAACCTGCTTTCTTTTTACTCTGGACTTCCTCCAGATCTCCAGTCATGAGTGCTAGAAACATGGATGAGGAGTCCTGCCAGGTGAATGGTTTATTGTTCTCAAATGCCTGCCATTTAATCAGTCATTTCTTTCAAAGAGAATGTTCCAAGACCCCGCAGGCACACAGGAACCAGAGCTTAACCACTCAGAGATGATGCTCCTAAGAGAGACAGGACCTTTTAGTTTGAACAGGTAAATTGGAAGCCACTCTCCTGGTGATGAGGGTGGGGGCTTGAGAGAAATTATTGTTACTATTTCCACAGTTGTCAGCCAGCTGGGGTGTAAGATGAGTCTCCCTAGCAGGTGTTAGATTATTAGGGAAATTAAGCAGATGGCTTTGGCAAACCACACCTCCCGTTCCCTCTGCTGCCAGGAATTTCAACCCTCTAGCTCAGCTTCACATATGCTTGTTTAAAAAGCTCCTGTCATTCATGGAAATGGAATCAGTGTCATCACTTGAGCACGTCTGGAACCACGAGGAAACGGTGTCACCCTCAGTCTCTCAGAACAATTAGTGAAAATCCTTCTCTGTTTTTGTGTCACTCATAATGTGGTAATAGGTTCCACTGAGGCAGCTCATGTCACTGGCTCAGAGGGAGAAAGTTTGTGTACCACAAGCTGTCTACAGTGTTCAGCGTACTGTAGAACAGATCTCATAACCTCTGCCATCCCACAAGGAAGAGCGGCCAAGCCTTGCACCGCCACATGAGGAAATAGAACATAGCATTTCTAAGAATGGTTCTTCATGTTTTGAAGCCCAGTCCATTTTGCTAACATCAGGTCTGTCTTTTAACTGTAGATTCACTTGGTTTAACAGCCAGTAAATCTTAAGAGACTGTTTACCAACCTGACAGGATCTCACACAGATGCCTAATTGAAGCCATTAATGTAATGATGCTGTGAGATACGAACTGGAAACATTCAAAACATTCAAGCCATCCCAAGAGTAGTAAAAATAATCTGTGCCTATATGTGCCCATTATCTCTCTATGGACAGGAATGGTAACTAAAATAATTTATTTTAAATCTCTTACAATGGGCAAAATGTATACTTTTCAGCAATGGTATCTGGAACATTTACCATGAATTAAGCTTGATGGAACACATTAAGGTTATTACAAGAAACGTATCAGACCATAGTCCCTGTTTTCAAAGAACTTAAGAATAAAAAGAAAAGGGGATCACAGTGAAAAAAATTCTGGCTGCTTGTGAGTATATGAACATCCAGCATCTGGGAAGGAGAACTGGAAAAATTCCTTGTGATACATGATGGATCCCTGGGAATGGCCAGACCATAGGTTTCTTCATAGAAACCTAAAGGAGAGGAAAGAGTGCAGCGATGAGAAAATGAAGTTAGTCTCCCCTGGGTAAGACAAGAAGGGGGCCACAGAGGTGGAGTCAGGGTTGAGGTTCATACTATCAAGAATGCTGAAAATCTTCAAGGCATCACTACTGAGCAACTTACTGAGGCTTTTAAATGGAGACTGGCACCATTAGATTTGAGTTTGAATTTATTATTATAATTATTACTGTAATTGTACATATTAGTGAGCTTCAATTTGATATTTTCATATATGTACATATCATGCTTGGGTCATACCTAACATCTCCACAATGCTCTTTTTGTCTCTCCTCCCTTCCCTTCCCCCTCAGTCCCCTGAACCCTGGTAGCCCCTTTGCTATTTTACTATTTTCACATCACCTTTTGAAAAACTATTCTAGCTTCACTATTAGTCAAAACATGTGATACTTGTCTTTTGCATATGGTATATATTGCTTAACATAATGATCACTACTTCATTAATTTTCCTGTAAATGACTCATACTTCCAGGATAACCATATCACCAAAAGCAAATGTACAGATTCAATGCACTCACCATCAAAATACCAAGAACTAGGAGATAAATGAATGCGGACATGTTGCTACAGGTCTAGAATGCCAGGCCTCAGGAGGAGGAGGTAAGAGTGTCACAGGTTTCAAGTCAGCCTGGGCCAGAGTAAGAACTTCAACAAAAGGGAAGGGGAACTCGAGAGATGTCTCAGAGGTTAGGGACACACACTGATCCTGCTGAGGGCTCAGATTCAGATTACAACATCCATGTCAGGTGGCTCACAATCACCCATTAACTATAGCTTCAGGGGATCGGACATTACCTTCCCAGCAATGTTATACATGCATAAACCACCCCCAAGATACACACATGTGATTGTACATAAAATAAATATTAAATAAGCAACAAGACAAATTGAAGGGAGGGCAGAGAAGGGGGTAAGAGAACAAACTGGGAAAAAAATCCTAAAATTCATATGGAATCACAAAAGACCCCCACAGCCAAAGCAATCCTGAGCAAAAAGAACAATGTTGGAGGCATCATTATTTCTGATTTTTAAATATGCTATAAAAACGGGGGATATGTTATGGAACAAAAATGGCCATATAGACCAATGGAATAGAATTGGAGTCTAGAAGTAAATGGCTACAATCGTCTTGATAAAGATGCCGAAAAAAAGATGATGATGATGATGATGGTGGTGATGAAAAAAGTGCCTCTTCTACAAGTGGTGCTAAGGAAACTCAATGTCCATGTATATGAAAATGAAATGAGATTCCTATCTCTCACCCTGGATAAAAATAAACTGAAAGTGGGTCAAAGACCTTCATTTAAGAGCTGAAACCTTGAAACCTCTAGAGCAGGATTTCTCAACCTGTGGGTCATGACCCACGTGAGGGTTACATATCTGATCTCCTGCATACCAGATATTTAAATTACAATTCATAACAGTAGCAACATTACAGTTATGACATTTCAACAAAATAATCTCATGGTTGGGGGTCACCACAACATGAGGCACTGTATTAAAGTGTCATGGCATTAGTAATGTTGAGAACCACTGCACTAGAAGAACATACTTAAGTATATCAGCATAGATGATGCCCGGCATAGAACTCTAATAGCACAGGAAAGAAAAGCAAGGATTGACTGAGAGTTATATTAAACTAGAAATTTTCTTAGGGTTTGGAGAGATGACACCATGGGTAAGATACTTACTGCATAAGGAAGAGAACAAGTTCAGATTCCAGCACACACATGAAAAGCTTGGTGTGGCCCAGAGGTGGTGGCACACGCCTTTAATTCCAGCACTTGGGAGGCAGAGGCAGGCGGATCTCTAAGTTTGAGGCCAGCATGGTCTGCAGAGTGAATTCCAGGATGCCCAGGACTTTTACATAGAGAAACCTGGTCTCAAAAAAAAAAAAAAAAAAAAAAAAAAGGAAAAGAAAAAGGCTTGGTGTGCCTGTACATGTGCCTGTAACCCCAGAGCTGTGGTAGTCGGAGACAGGAGGATTATGGGGGCACATTTTCTATGCCTGCTCTCATCTAATCCATTCTTCACATGGTGGTCAGAGGTCTGTTTTAAAAATGAAAATGTTAGCCGGGCGGTGGTGGCGCACGCCTTTAATCCCAGCACTCGGGAGGCAGAGCCAGGCGGATCTCTGTGAGTTCGAGGCCAGCCTG